TACGTCACCGCGCTCCTTTGCGACTCTACTTCCGCCTCCACTGTCGGTCTCGCCACACGCCGTTGCTTCTCTGGCCACCAGGGATCGTCGCACCGCGCCGTCGTTCCGCCGCTACTGCCGCCGCCATTGATGTTCCCACCACATCCTCGCACGGATATAGCAGATCGGGCCGAACCTGCTTAGCAGCCAAGATCTGACGGAGACTGGATTAGCCTGGAACATCCAGGGCAGGGCCACTCGGTCCTTGGTGGAGGTGAAAAGTGCCACCCAGTCAGAGATGATTTATGGTGACCCCATGGGGCCTTCTAGGAAAGAGAAGAACAAAGGCAGTTTGCCATTGCCTGCCTCCGTGCAGCGACCCTAGGCTTCCTTGCTGGCCTACCATCCAAATACTGAATAGGGCTGACATAAGAACAGAAGAGAAGCCATGTTGGATCAGGCCAGTGACATATCCAGTCCAACACTCCATGTCACACAGTGGCCGAAACGCAGGGGCCATCATGAGGTCTCCAAGCAGGGCCAGAGCTCCAGAAGCCTTCCCACTGTAGCCCCCCCCAAGTACCAAGAATGCAGAGAACGGAAGAACAGAAAAGAAGCCATGTTGGATCAGGCCAATGACCCATCCAGTCCAACACTCCATGTCACACAGTGGCCCAAACCCATAGGCCATGAGGCCCAAAACACCAGAACCCCCCCCACTGTTGCCCCCCCAAGCACCAAGAAGACAGAGTGTCACTGCCCCTTACAGAGTATCTATGCCTTGTGGCTAACAGCCACTGATGGACCTTTGCTCCCCTCTGCTTGGCATACAGAAGGTCCTGAGTTCAATCCCCTCTTGAATCTGTCCGTGCTTGTAGCCACCACCACTTCCTGCAGCAGTGAATTCCACGTGTTCATGACTCTTTGGTTGAAGGAGTACTTTCTTTGATCTGTTCTAAGCCCACTGCTCATTCATTTAATGGACTGCCCACAAGTTCTTGTATTGTGAGAAAGGGAGAAAAGTACTTCTCTCTTTACCTTTCCTACCCTGTGCATAATTTTGTCAACCTCTATCGGGGCACCCCTCAACCATCATTACTCCAAGCTCAAGAGCCCCAAGCACTTTATAACCACTTGAGCCACCACAGCTCCGACAAGGAAGTAGTATGCATGAAATATGTCGAAACGTTGGCAGCAGTATGTCAAAACACTGGGCCATCCTTTCAGCTGAACGAGGACGAACAGGAAGCTGTCTTTCTGGCGCAACAAAACACCCTGCCTTCAATGTTCCCTCTAAGGTGTGGAGTCCTGTGAGCAAGAATTCTACTTTGTGAGCTACTAGCCTTAAAGTTGTGAGCGAGCAATTTGGCTGCATCATAAATTAGTTTTCTTTCGAGCCATCCTTCCTGAGCTAAGGCAAAAATGTGTGAGCCGGAGGCTAAAAAACTGTGAGCTAGCTCACACTAACTCAGCTTAGAGGGAACAGTGCCTGCCTTCCCAGAAGTTTGCTCTGCTGCAACCTCCGAAGCTGGGAGACCTAAACAACTCGATCTTAGAAACACTTTCCCGGGAGTAAGCCCGATGAAACAGTCTTGAGCAGGATTCTGCATAAGAACATAAGAGATGCCAATGTTGGATCAGGCCAATGGCCCATCCAGTTCAAGACTCTGTGTCACAAAGTGGCCAGAAATACCAGGTGCCATCAGGAGGTCCAGCAGTGGGGCCAGGACACTAGAAGCCCTCCCACTGTTGCCCCCCCCCCCAAGCACCAAGAATACAGAGTATCCCTTGCCCCAGACAGAGTGTTCCATGTATACTTGAGAGCCAGTTTGGTGCAGTGGTTAAGTGTGCAGACTCTAATCTGGAAGAACTGGGTTTGATTCCCCACTCCTCCACTTGCACCTGCTGATGTGACCTTGGGTCAGTCACAAGCCCTGGCACAGCTGTTCCTGCAAGAGCACTTTGTGTCAGAGTGCTCTCAGCCCTGCCTACCTCACAGGGTGTCTGTTGTGGGGAGGGGATGGGAAAGGAGTTTGTAAGCCACTCTGAGACTCCGAGTGAAGGGCGGGGTATAAATCCAATCTCTTCTCTTCTTCTTCTTCTAGTGAGTTGCCCAATTTCTAAATCTTTTTCTCTATTGAGGTTTGTAAGTTCCCTTATTTTCTCTTGAAGGGGGAAACTTTCCCAAGTGAGGAAACTGCTGCTTTTCCCTGCAAGCTCTGCTGCCAGGAAATCTGGGCACTCCCACCACATATGGGAATATCTTGACCTATCTCCACTCTCATGGAGATAGATCAAGACTGGTCACCCTGGTAAGTCTGTCCGTAGCAGTAGAAAAGAGCAGTAGCGCCTTAAAGACGAACAAAATTCGTGGCAGGGTAACTGAAGAGCTGCGGTGGCTCAAGTGGTTAGGACGCTGAACTGCAGGCTGTGGAAGGTCGGTAGTCCAGCAGTTCGAGACCCGAGTGTGCCGCATGACAGAGTGAGCTCCCGTCTCTAGTTCCAGCTTCTGCCATCCTAGCAGTTCGAAAGCAAGAAATTGCAAGTAGATAAATAGGTACCACTTTGGTGGGAAGGGAACAGCGTTCCGTGCGCCTTGGCATTTAATCATGCCGGCCACACGACCACGGAAATGTCTTCGGACAGCGCTGGCTCTTCGGCTTTGAAACGGAGATGAGCACCGCAACCCTCGAGTCGGATTCGACTGGCTTTCGAGCAAGGGAAACCTTTACCTTTACCTTACTCCCATAATGCCTTGGGATCAAGGGGGGAGACTCCTTCTCAATATGCAAAACAATCCCCTTCCTTTCTGGCAAGACTGTGCAGTGTCTATGCCGAAAGAGAGAATGGGAGCCTCCGAAGTTTCACGAGGTGAAGATCGAGCCTTTCCGTGTATGTCCATTGTTCTCCGAAGATGCGAAGATTTCTGGTGCAGTATATTATTAGCTGTAATGTATAGTGCCTTACTCCTTCACTTTAAATTGAAGAAGCACGCTTGGAAAATGTGTGCCATGGGAGAAAGAGTAAATAAAAAATGAATGCTTGCATTGTTTATATTCCATTTTTAGTCTTTGTAATTGCAAGCCTGCTGCTTGTATGGGCTTGATTTCAGGGAAAGGAATACAGTTTAGAGATGTTTTCTGTTTTGAAATGTTTACAGGTTTTTCCCCTATGACTTCATGGAATGACAATGTTTTTGAGTTTATTGCATGTAGATGATGCATATAATTGATATGTGTATTGATAATGTCACATGATGAGGTTCATGCTTGCCTGCCATGCAGATTTTGGGAGTTCCAATGGCAATTTGGCATTTTCATTAGGGTAGAGTTTATTGTTTTATTTTTAAGTCCGTTCCAGTGCTAATATAGCTAGTTGGCATCTGGGTATCTTGTTCCTGCGACGCCCAGACGAGCTTCAGACGACATCTCTGGATCTGACCTTCAGAACGGATGACATGTTCCTGATACACATGTTCCTGATACTGTTTTCATGACTTCTCCGTCTGTGACTACGAGGTCATGAAGGGGGGGGGGCTGTTAGAGAATAAGCCTGATATTTGCTTCATGGACTATTTATTGCTACACACAATGGACTGTGCACATACCCATAGGCTCAGAAAGCTGTACGCTTTAGGTCACCGGTTGTGATGCCACACATAGAGGGTGCCTGCTCATACCTTACATGTAAATAAGGTTTCAGCTACACAGTTGCCCAGCCTGGTGAAGAAGCACAAACCTCCATTATTGTGAGCAATGAAACGACAACTCTGGGAAGAAACAGCCCCCATGGCAGAGCTGCTTGTAGTCATGTACTACCCATCACCTGCTTTGTTCCTGAGCTGGAATTTCCTGCCAGATGGACAATTGATTATTTAGGTTAGAATATTGGCCGCCCCTCTTAGGTAACCTCCCCTTCCCACATACAACCAATAGGATTGTTTTTGGGACGGACTAACAGGTAGGTGGGTCAAGAGGTTGGCACAGTTACCGCCCATCTCTTGGACCCCCTATAAAAGGAGAGAACCAGTCACCTGGCCCCTCCTACCTGATCAGCTACCATCTCCCCCGCAACAACCCCTGTCTGCTTTTACCCCTCTTGAGTCCCACTTGCTATCCCCAACCCTTGCCTCTACTATTGATCTCTTGATCTGCAGTCGAGAGACCCACACGTTCTGGCTGGTTCTGGCCGTATGTGAATTCCCTTTGTCTTCCATTTCTTCCCATCCATTCTTCATTGGAACAACCAAGCTGCAAGACAGATAAGTATCGCCCACCACCATCCTTACCTGCTAATGCAAATGTGCTTATGTCCTACTGTAACTCTTACAAATGTGATTGAATGTGTGAGTGCATCAGTATTGTTTGTATGAGATATATTTTTAAGTAAAAGACATCTATTTTAACCACAACAGCCTCGAATCCTTTACTGGGAACTCTTGGTGGGATCAGGACTTTGGTATAAATTGGCAAGAACCCATTTATAAGTTGCCAATTGCTGTAAATAAAGTAATTCGGCTAACAGGGCAGTGATACTCTCTATTCTTAGTGTTTAGGGAGCCACAGTGGGAGGGCTTCTGGAGTTCTGGTCCCACTGGTGGACCTCCTGATGGCCCCTGGGTTTTGGCCACTGTGTGACACAGAGTGTTGGACTGGATGGGCCGGTGGCCTGATCCAACATGGCTTCTCTTACATTCTTATGTCTGGGGCCGTGATGCTCTGTCTTCTTGGTGCTGGGGGGGCACAGTGGGAGGTCTTCTGGAGTTCAGGCTGTACTTGTGGACTTCCAGATGGCCCCTGGGTTTTGGCCACAGAGTGCTGGACTGGATGGGCCAAAGGCCTGATCCAACATGGCTTCTCTTATGTTTTCCCCACGTCCCACCTCTCCATTGGAGTCTTGAGAAGGCTTGGCTGCAAAAACTTTCCCCCCTCCCCCTTTGAAAACACTCAAGACCAGAGCTGACCCCCCCCCTTCTCTCCCGCCAGGAGCAAGAGGCAAAAAGATGAGAGGAGATCTGAGCATGCAAGGGGGTGTTTTATTGGGCAGACACAGCAAGGGCTGCGGAGGGTAGGTGGTGTTCGGGCTGCCGTCACTTGATGCGTTTGAAGACATTCTTGCCAACCCTGTGGAGAAACACAGACCGGTCAGGGGCTCAGGGGCAGAGTGGGGGCTCCGGGCACCTCAGAGGGCAGGCCCCCAATTCTAACCCCAATTCTGGCCCAACATGGAGCTCTTTCCCCGGCAGACTTCCAGCTCCGGAGATGGCGGGATCCAGATGCCCTTCCCAGGCTGGGAAGCCACCACCAAGGAGGCCTTGAGCCCTTCAGAGCCGAGAGGGTAGGCCGGCTGTGCCAGCAAATCTTGCTCCACGGCTCCGGCTCAAAGACACCCCCCCCACGCCATGGGGTTTGCATCACAGCCATCAAGGGCAGGCCTGACTCCGAGGCTCCTTGGGCTGCCAGGCCCACAGCTCGCCCGCTTCCCCGCCCCATCCAAGTGGTCAGATCCTTACAGCGTGCCCCACCAGTCGTCGCCGTGCTTCGGCACCTCTTTGCGCAGCAGCCAGAGGGTCTCCAGTGTCTCGACTCCCTTCTCGTCCACGAAGCACTGGCCCACAAAGGTGGTGGTGGTTGCTGTGGGGGCAAGCAGAGACTGGGCTGGCGGGGGATTCGAACACTGAGCCGGAGGGGCAGAGGGGAAGGGGGCAACTCTGTGGGGGCAGCCAGCTCGAGAAGATACTCCCCCAGAGAGCATCTGGACCTTTCCTGTCACCTCTGAGAAACAAAGGCTGTTTCTCGCCTCAGGGGTCCGAGCGCGTCTGTCAGAAGTCTGTTTCTCCTCCTTGGAGGCCAGAGAACATTTCCCACCCGGAAAGATCGGGACCTCTGAGAGTGACAGAGGGGAGGCCGTAGAAAAGAGCCAGCAGTGAAAAGTTCCTCCCCTGCCCCAAAGCTGAGTAAGAGTCCAGGGGCACTTTAAGGACGGGATGGCTCTCTTGAAGTATTTGAAGGGCCGTCACTTAGAGGAGGGCGGGGGGCTGTTCCTACGGTTGCCAGGTTCCTACCTGGCATCCAGCGGGGTGGGGGGAGAGGGAGTAGCTTTGTAAGTCTGGGAGTATCATAGAGTTTTAAGGTCGAACGCTAGAGCGTCCCCCAACGACGTGCATGACGGCCCGATTCAGGCACTTTGGGGGTGGAGTTCCCCCTGGCAGCCAGATCCAGGCTGGCAGGTTTGGGGACCCTAAAGTGGGCAAACCCCCAGCTCCCCGGGGGACCTGGAAGCCCTAGCTGTTCCTGTTGGCAGCAGAGGGTGGGAGACGCAAGAATGGCTTTAGATTAAAGGCGGGAAAGTGCCGGCTGGATATCAGAGAAAACGTTTTTACCGTAAGAGTTGTGCAACGGTGGAATCAGCCGCCTGGGGAGGTGGTGAGCTCCCCCTCACTGGCAGCGGCCGGACAAACCCTTGACAGGGATGCTCTAGGCTGATCCTGCACTGAGCAGAGGGTTGGACTAGAGGGCCTCTATGACACCTTCCGTGATTTTATGACTCGTTTGTGGCAGGGTAGGAGCTTTCATGAGTCATTGCTCACTCCTTCAGATCGTTTGAGATGGGTCGCCTTGTTAGTCTGTCTGTAGCAGTAGAAAAGAGCAAGAGTCCAGGAGCACCTTAAAAGGTAACGGAACTTGAGGCACCAGATGAACTTTCGTGAGTCACTGCTTACTTCTTCAGTTAAAAGTAAAGGTTCCCTTGCTCGAAAGCCAGTCGAGTCCGACTCTAGGGTTGCGGTGCTCACCTCCGTTTCAAAGCCGAAGAGCCAGCGCTGTCCGAAGACGTTTTCCATGGTCATGTGGCCGGCATGACTAAACACCAAGGCGCACGGAACGCTGTTACATTCCCACCGAAGTGGTACCATTTATCTACTTGCAATTTCTTGCTTTCGAACTGCTAGGTTGGCAGGAGCTGGAACTAGAGACGGGAGCTCACTCCGTCATGCGGCACCCGGGTCTCGAACTGCTGAACTACTGACCTTCCATAGCCTGCCGTTCAGCGTCTTAACCACTTGAGCCACCGCAGCTCTTCAGTTACCCTGCCACGGATTTTGTTCGTCTTTAAGGCGCTCCTGAACTCTTGCGCTTTTCTACTGCTACGGACAGACTTACAAGGGGCGACCCGTCTTGATCTATCTCCATGAGAGGGGAGATAGGTCAAGATGATCCTGTATAGCCCGGAGAGGAGACGACTGAGAGGTGATATGAGAACCCATCTTCAAGTCCTTGAAAGGGCTGCCATCTAGAGGATGGTGCGGAGTTGGTTTCCGTTGCCCCAGAAGGTCGGACCAGAACCAACGGGTTGAAATTAAATCAGGAGAGTTTTCGGCCGAACACTAGGAGGAACTTCCTGACAGTCGGAGCGGTTCCTTGGCAGAACAGGCTTCCTCGGGATGGGGTGGGCTCTCCCCTCTTTGGAGGTTTTCAATCAGAGACTAGATGGCCATCTGACAGCAATGCAGATTCTGTGAACTTGGGCAGATCATGAGAGGGAGGGCAGGAGGGGTTGCCTCAGTGCTTAGTTCTCGTGGCCCTTTCTTACATGCCCAGGGAAATGCTGATCGCCACTTTGGGGTCATGCGTCAATTTTCTCCAGGCCAGTTTGGCCCAAGGATCCTGGAGGATTTTTTGCCATCTTCTGGGCATGGAGCAGGGGGTCACTGGGTGTGAGTGTGTGTGTGTGTGGGGGAGGTATTCGTGAATTTCCTGCATTGTGCAGGCGGTTGGAGTAGATGGCCCTAGAGGGCCATTCCAACTCTATGGCTCTATGATCTATCACCCCCCATCTCCTAGATTTAAGACCTGTTTTGCGGGGTCCTAGAAATACCCTCCCAGACACAAACAGCAGGAGGGGCTCCTCCCGTTGCTTGGGCTTTCCTGGCGGGCTCAAGCAACTGTGGCCGTGGAAGGCTTCCCCTGCTGCGCCTCCAGTTCTGGAGCTCGGAGAGATGGGTGCAAGTAGGAGCACCCTGGGGTGGGAGCTAGCCTCCCCCCCCTTGGTCCCTTCAGGCGGGCGCTACGACAGACCCAGCCAGCCATGGCAACCCCTGGCCATCCACTGCCAGGGCACTTTGCCCCTCTCTCTCTGCCCAGGCCGACCCTGTGCATCACCCCACCCCCTCCCTGGCCTGGGACCTAGGGTTGCCACTTCTGGGTTGGGAAATACCTGGAGATTTTGCGGGTGGAGCCAGAGGAAAGCAGGGTTTGGGGAGGGGAGACCCAGTGGGGCACAGTGCCACAAAGTCCACCCTCCAAAGCAACCCTTTCCTCCGGGGGAGCTGATCTCTGTCGCCTGGAGACCAGTGGCCGTCAGTGTTCCCTCTAAGCTGAGTTAGTGTGAGCTCGCTCCCAGTTTTTTACCCTCCGGCTCACAGATTTTTTGCCTTCGCTCAGGAAGGGTGGCTCCAGAGCAAACTGATTTATGCAGCAGCCCAATCGCTCCCTCACCACTTTAATGCCAGCAGCTCACGAAGTAGAATTTCCGCTCACAGGGCTCCACAGCTTAGAGGGAGCATTGGTGGTCATCCCGGGAGATCTCCAGCCACCACCTGGAGGCTGGCAACCCGACCGGGACACAAGCGGGCCTACCTGTGAAGTTCCAGAGGACGACGAAGCCGAAGGTGGGCTGGTCCCTCTTGTGCTGAGCGCCCCACAGGGGCGATTTCACGATGGTCTGGTTGGAGATGCTCACTTTGGTCAGGTAGGAGCCCGAGAAGGCGCCGGCGTCGTCGGGGGGCGAGATGCGCATCGTGGAGCCCAGGTCATTCAGCCACTTCCCCGTAAGGGAGCACTGGAGAGACTGGGGGGGGGAAGGGGGGTCAGCTGGGAAACCCACTCCCCCC